AAGCATCTGTTTTAAGTCTAAAGTAAGGAAATTTAGTTAGGCATTTTTCAATATGAGTAAAACTGATTCAATTACAGTTGTAAGCACCTAAGATAAAATTCTCTTCAGTATGTAACTTTTTACTGACATGATGCAACTTGGCAAAATTCTTACAGATGAAAGCACTTAATATTGCAGATTCCTAAAAATGCTGTTCTTTTTTGCAGTGAGCAAGAAGCATAGGGTTTCTCATCATGATAAATCTCAGCTAAACGTAACAATCAGAGCATTTTATCAGACTGCAAAAATGGAATTTCAGCAACTTCGGAATATATCACAAATGACTAACTTCTCCAATCTTCCTCAGAGGTACTGTACGAAACACATATGACTGTTTCAGAAGCAGATGGTCTTTCAAGAAAATCTATTTTAAAAAGAATGAAAACATGTCAACTGACATAAATAACCAATGGTAAATGTTATTGTTCTGAACAGAATTTTTCCTGTGAAATAGAGTATGTGTGTAAACCATTAATTGTGCCATCATTCCAGCCAGCTTGGGGAAGAACTGCAGACTGCTCTAAACATATATATATATTTATATTGATATATTTATATGAACCCTGTCATAAAATATCCTGAACAAGAACATGATTTCTCACTTACGTAGGCTCTTCCTGCCAGGGATGAAGATGAACACAATCTCAAAGCTCCTTACCAGTATTATCTAACTAAGCCTACAAGGGCAGCTACGGGTTATTACGTTCTCTGTATATGTGGACAAATGAGACAAGCAAGTTTATATCTCAAGAGATCACTGGGAGTTGGTAAGCTGCTATGATTACCACCCTGAAGTCTTGACTCCCTTATTTTTTCTCTCACAGATGGATAATTAAGCTATTATATTGTGGAAAATTCATCTAAGAGCAGAAATATAGGAATTATGAACCTGCACAGATGTTCAGAAAGTTACAGAAAGGTTCTCATTAATAACACTTAATAATACAGATGATGAGCAGAAAGGAAATTAACTTAGTCGGGACCTCTTTTCCCACTTCACATCTCTTGTATTGTGATAGCAAAGTTTACCACTGGCAATTACTAACCAGCTCTGAAAGGATGTTCTCCCTATGCTTAGGAATATACAGATTTTAATAATATGATTCATACAATTTCTTGGTGTTAGCGGTTAAATATCTTCATTATAATGCTTTTCTATCAGAGTTAAAACATTCCACAAAGCACTAAGTACCCTCAACTCCATGCTACAGCTGGGAACAGTGAGTCAATGAAGCAAAACAACTTAATGACCACCTTCAGCCACTGCCTGTGCTGGGAATGAACCAAAGGAAGCTTAAGATAAAAGATATAAAAATGTAAATAAACTTTATCCATCCATGTCCCCTGTGGCACTAAGGATCTTTTCAAACATAGACAATTGAATGTAGGTAAAAATAAATGAATGAATAAAGGGCAAAAAAATAAAAATTCAAATGAGAGAAGAGAGAGAAACGTTGATAAACTCTACATTCAGAGGAAGTGTGTGTGACGGTGAGTATTCCAGCAATTATAGGAATAAGGGCTGATGCTGGACTTGATGCATACAGTCTAACATGGGGAGCAGACATGAGAAGTGAAATGAAAATAAAGTGTCTATCAGCTGCCAATTAAAATCTCAAAGGGCTTTGAGCTTAACAGGCTAATGCAACTGCTCCACAGGCTTCACCTGAACAGTTTAACCACTTTTTTCTTTTATTCCTCTCCTCCAAGTTATACTTGTTTTCCATTAACAGATTCTTTCACTCCAATATCATTGAATTTAAAATATTAGTGTGGCATATTAAAATTCCATACTTAATCTTTTCACTTGATTGTGTTATTCCATTATGTTTTATACTTTTTACAGTCTCTGTATCTCCTAGATTTTTAGGCCTTTTTTTTAGTATACAAATGCTTGGGTTGCTACTTTGCAGGTGTTTACATAGACTAGGAACATAAATCATACAACAATCATCAAGTAGTAGGTACTTAAATCTTTTCAGTTTCTTTGGCAATCTTAATCTCCAACCTTCATATGTCCTGACTGGTCAACACATGCTGCTCTCTTTTTCTAAGCATGAATATGCCATGCTTTCTCAAACTCCATATGCACACAGTGAATAGAAGGCAATCACCCCAACCTTCTGAAAAGCAAGGTAGTAGATTTAAGGGATTGCTCCCATTCTTTTGTATTGAAACCAAAGATACTAGAGCTTTTTCTGAAGCTTTCCTTCCATTAAGGTCTGCCTAAACAATCTAAAAGAGAATACACAAAAAGTAAATGGAAGTCACGATCAGCCTTTGCCACAGAAATACAATGCTACAGCTCTGGAAGAAAGGAAAATTTATACTGAGACAGGAAATACATATATTTACTTGCACTCATAATTCAATCACACCTGTGAGGAATGAAGAACAATCATGGTTGCAAAAAGAAGAGATCTCAGGGAAACTGCTGACAATCAACTTGCCTTTGCAAAAAAGTCCTTTAAATTCCCACGGGATTTGGGTTATCCTCATCAACATGCTCCTAGGACTCTTCTAAAGGAAATGACTACTGAGAGACTCTCTAATGAATGTTGAGTCTTATGGTACCTTAGCTTTTGACTGGATTCATTCTAAGCCTCAACACTGAGTACGCCTTTGCTCCACACTGTCACAGATCCTAAGTATAAAGGCTTTTTTAGGATGAAGACAGGAATGAACAGGTACAGAAAATTTCCATGTAGAGATAAGGAAAACCATGCAGAAAAGAATCTGTATTTTCATGAAGAAGTGTCCCTCCACAGCTAAATCCACAGAAAGGCTGATATGGAAACAACTGACAATAAATCAGAATTGATCTCTCACTCAAATAATATAAAGACAAGAACGACTTTTGAAGCTTTTAAAAATACTTCTGAGATATAACATATTTTTGCTGCAATAATAAAAAGTCAGGCTGTCAAAATAATTGAATACTACTAGTTCCATGGTAGTTTTGCTCTGACAAATATCTTCTACTCAAAGTTCTTCTATATACTGCTGGACATGTGTTCTTGCAAATTGCCAAATTTCTGCTCTCACTCCCTGCCCATTTCTTGCTCTCTCTCTTTTCTACCCATTTAGGATTATACTCCCTTTCATTTCTGAGAATATGTTCTGCATTTGACATCCAAAGAGTAAAGCTTTTCTATATTAATCATCTAATTAGCAAATTAGGTATCAAAGTGATCAGTATTATTGATCAGTCATTTTAGTTATCTTCCAACTTAGTCTTTTTTATTTTTTTTTTTTTTCATTTCTTTGCCTTGAGGTCTCTTTTTACTGCTATATTACCCCACACATCTGGATTACACCCCATCATGGTCACTCTGCTCCACATATTGAAGTTGGACCTTCTATATGTTCATGAAACGCACATTTAAAAAAAAGTAATAATGTGTACTAACACATCCCAGTTTTCATTTGAGGCCTCAAACATTCTGCATGATAATTATGCCAATTTTGCTGTGCTTTGATTTCATTTTCAAAATGATTATGTGATTTATACAAAGTCATTTGGGAAACGTATATCAAAATGGAACTGAACAAGTTGACCCATGCCCCAAACATCAGATGTCTGCTGAGGATAACACGGCACTGACAGGAGACTCATTTTTCCATAGTGGCAGTTAGAGAAACACAGCAGAATACTCCCATATAATCTCAAACACAATTGGATTCTAGTTTTATGTACTCATCCATAAACTCATGTATGTACTGCTTATAAAGCTGAATTTCTTCCTTGGCCTCCTATGCCAATTCTGGTTTATTAAAGCAGCAACACTATTTCCAAAACAATCTTAATTTTTCATCATTCAGCTAGGACTCAGACCCATCTGCAGTAAAAAAACTTCTAGAAATTAAGTACAGTGGACTGAAGAATAGCCTTTTCTGGTCATGACAATACATGAGGGTACATAGCCAATTTGAAGTCTTCTGAGACATTTTCTGGCAACGGATGGTTTTCAATTATATTAGCAGTTTAAATGTTTTTTTTTTTCCTTCTTTGGAAATCCCAACAGATATGCAGCTTTTGGCTGCATGTCCAGAATAATCATGACAAAGTAGACTCTGAATCTCAGGTTGAGCTATTTAAGACAATAACATAAACACACGTTCTTTACTTTTTTTTTCTTTCATTTAAGCTGGTATAATTCAGGTGCATCAAAATAAAACACATAGATGAACGGTCAAATGAAGAAAATATCATAAACATTAATTCTGTATGGAATTTGCCCTTTTCAAGTCTGCTCAACACAGGGACGATTGACAGTATGTAGTACAAGCCTTTAAACCAGTGACCAGTAGAGGGACAGTTTATAGATTGTGTTCCAATCAAAACCTAACTGTTCAATTCAGAGTTTTAATTATTTTTTTTTCCCTTTGCATAAACAAGTTCTTGGTAGCCTCTTCAGTCCATGACATTTTATGTTAGTGACCATATGGAACCATTCTATCATCTAATCCTAGTTGGTCCTTGTTCCACTAGCTACCACCGATAGCTTATCCTTTACTTTGTACAACATCAGCTGTTTCTTAAATTATCTTCTCTAGAAGTTTCTACTTTACTTATCTCATATTCTTAAGGCAGTTATACCTTACACCTTTCTATGTTTAGATAATTTATAATTACAGTTAGCTTCCTTAGTAAAATAAGTGTCAGTTATACCAATGGTATATTAATTAAAAATAAAACATATGTAGTCTTAACTATTATGTTCATAGTGCTGTTATGGTACTGTATCATCACAATATATGTGAAAACAACTTGCAGGACTCTTCCCTACAATAATAAAGTTAACTTCCAACACTTGAGCATGTGAGAAATTTGAAAATATTTCTTTTATGGTAAATTTCTTCTGTGGTATAGTGGTAACTCAGTCTCAGAAAATAATTTATCCTGTATAACAGAATTTATATTATTTAGAGGAAAACGAAAGAGAAAAGCTTATCTTTACCCTCCGGACATCTTTGCCAAATGTTTCACTGTAGCTAGTGCCCAGTATTTCAAATTGAACGTAGGGGTTGGCGCCATCTTCTCTGAACTCCATAGCACCAGTAAGCCCAGTTATATGGCCCTAAGGAGACAATTTTCAAAAATTTTACAATAGAACAAATTTGCCTTTACAAACACTCATTTTTTATTAAAGATAAAGAGAAATCCATTCTGAAAATGTTCACAGCAAACTTAAATGTAGTGATTACATGTTCTTCAACAGTTCAAATATGTTTTTGAGGAAATGGTTCCAACACTAACATATCCACTGTAAATTGTATTAGGAAGTCATCAGATCTTTATCTTCACAGAAATAGACCCTAGAAAACAGGACTGTGGTGGAACACGAGACAACCGTCCTTTCAGTGTAACTGAAAGCAGTCAGTTGAGTGCTGGAGTTGAATTCAAAGGTATGAACTCCAAGTCCAGAAGAAAATGTAATACTTGCTGTGCTTACAGGAGAGGTGTAAAGAAAAGATGAAATTTGAAGAACTTTTAAAACCTCCCTGTAAAAGTATTTTATATTTTATATTTTATATTTATACGCAAATTGAGATGAAACTAAATTCCAAGTTAATTTAGTAATAAAATATCACATTTCTTAAGAATGACAGAGCATTACACAGCACTAGAGCAAAAACATTTTGTCAATATACATGGGCTACTTTGAAAGTAATGCCAGCTATTTTATTATGTGGGCCCATGATGTCAGAGGTGCCTGTAGGTGGCATGGCAGAGGAGGCTGAACTTTCCCGCCAAACTTCCATTACATTTTGCTGGCATGCAACAGATGGCAGCAGAGGAGCAGTCTGAAAGAACAGCGGATGACGTGGAAGTGCATATGAAGCAAAGAGGTGAAAATGAACTCTTCCATGTGGAAAAAATGACGCCCATTGACACTCATTGATACTTGCTGAATTTTAAGGAGACCAAGCAGTGGATGTGAACAGAGAGATGTAGTGGGTGGTGGTACATTCTAGCAGTGGCAACAGCAGGTCACCTCTGCTGGTGCAGATTTCTTCAAGCATGGTATGCAGGCTTTTGTTCCTCACTGGCAAAAAAATGCATAGCTAATGATGGTGACTATGTTGAGAAAGACCATTTTATAGCTGAGAATTTGCTCTATCAAATAGTGTTATTGTGCTTTGTATCTGTTGTAATTTCTATGGAAACAAGCAGGAGGCGTTACTTTCAGAACAACCACTGCTTTATATAAACAGGTTGCTTTTACAAATACATGCTAACATTGTTAAAGTATGAGTACTTTTTCAACTAGTATTTGTGATCAAATATCTTTTGTATAAGAGGTTATCATGGATCTGTAAAATCACACTACTGTTCATATTTGATTAATTCAACATATTGCAGGACAGTTTAAACAACTAAATCACACTGCATTAGCTCTGGGCTACACCACAAAAAAGATATTTAACAATGCTCAACTAACTTATGCAGCTAGTTGAGCAGCAGTAATTGGAACCTAAAACTTAAACCTTGTTGATTGGCCCCTTGAGCTCCTTAAGCTTTCTTGGCAAAAGGATTACAACAAATGAACACATCTATTGGACTACTTCTAATCACATGACCTCCAGAAGAGGTAGCTATGATAGCAACAGACACAGAACACATATCACTGGAGTAATGCTGCAGTGTGTGTAATTTGTTTGCAGCAAATCATTTGCTTTATTAACAGCAGATCATTCATTGCAGTTGTAAATCACTCACTTCTAATAAAAGTTAAACAGAGGTCAAAACAGAGGTCAAAAGCCTCTTCAAGAGCTAAGGAGAACTGAAACAACTCAATCTTGCAGACAATTGTGGTTTGTCTATTCTCACCTTCTTAATAGTCTCAAGCATGGATCGTCCTCCATTCCAAGGCTTGGTGGATTTCCTCATGCAATTCAGACTTGCCATGCTGTGCCATTTCCTGTCCTCCAGTTTTCTGTGGAAAGCATTGGCTAGCATGAGCACACTGTCATACAGGTACAGGTTGGAAACCTGCAAACAATAATAACAATGAGCCTCTTTGTTTATTTATGCTTCTTTCCAAAGAAACTGTAAAAACAAGAAAACAAATTAAAAAAAAAAAAAAAAAAACAGAAGCAAACAACAAAAAAAGACGATATGTAAAAACCAAAAGCTAAGCACATTTGAGATGTTCAACAGCTAAGGAAATTCAGACAAACACCAGTGTTTGCTCCCACCTTCTTCCTTCCAGCTTAGTAATAGTCCTTTTCTGGCCAATGGATTCTGATGCATTGCCTTACCGGCACATTACCTACAGTATCGCAGTAAAGATATAAAAGATCGTAACCCAAATATAAAGTCAAGCTACAGAAAGAGTACAGCTGTCTATCAGTAAAAGTCAAGGACTGCTACCCTGTCAGTCATTTCAGCAAGAAGAAAAAGATGGAACAGAATTAAGCTCTTAGTCTTGTTCATTTGAGTAATCTTGGTAATTTCTAGCAGAGCAAAATACAATATAATGTATCTACTCAGCACACAGGGAGAAGAAATGGCCATATTATTTTGGTCTCATCATCTCTCTCCACCAAATAAAAATGAGACTGGTCATTGTTCTACTTTCTTGGGAGATATTTATGTCAGCCTTCTTGTCTTCCTTATGAGAGATAACAGCAGTAATTGATGACAAAGGCTCTAATAAGAACTGCACGCTAGTGGCATTCAGATGTTGCTTTTTCAAAGTTTTTTTCCAAACCAAGACATAGCCTCTGATACAAAATCAATGGTGACATGTGGCAAGTATGTACTTCAAGTGGTAAAATTAGTGGTAAAACTTTAGCAGTGGCAGTTACCTAGAAGTAATTTGAAAAAAAATAATTAGATACTCTCTTCATTCATCTTAATTCCTCTTCAAACCTACGCACAGATTCAGGAGTCTTATTTACTCTTTATTAAACTCAAATGAGCAGTAAGCATGAGGTGCCAGATCCATTATTTAATTATTTATTACACTAAAAGAACATTCACTGAGCTGAGGGCTTTAGACATGGTGACTTATTTATCACTCGGATTTCTGTAACCCACCACAGAAGGTGGTGCCTAGAGATCAGTAAAAGGCTACATGTGGAATTTAATGCAATGACATAATTCCTACGAAATGTCACTCATCTGTAAAGCTTAAACATATAATGCTGTTGCAACACTGTCTACAACAAACTTCTAATACCTTAAGATCTTAAGGTCAAGAAATGAAATGTTCCATATTCCATAACCTGTTCAACATAAATTGAAAGCCTAATCATTTTGAAAAATTTTCTGGTGTATGTTAATCTGATCAAAATATGCAAAAATATATATGTAAACAAATATGTAAATTTCTAAATAAATATGTAAAAACATATGTAAACAAAAATTACTCAGTTAAAATAGGAAGATAGCAAAACACTAAATACTAAGGAAACTCCCATATTTAAGTGACTAAACACAAGCAAGGATCTTAATTCAAACCCTAATAAATACTATGTCTGAGATGTCTCCCATTTGGTGTTGTCATTTTTAGTGTAATCTTCTTTCTCTTCTTTTCCTTCCAGAATTGACTTTATCTTCTTACCCTTTTCCTTTTAGAAGAGTTTCCAAAGCAGCTACTTTCCACACTTCCTCTTTTTAAGGAAAGTATGAACTTAAAGAGTTAATAAGATTCCCAAATTCCCAGCAACTAAGTTTTGTTTTTGTTAAGTCTCTTCTGCTCAACTGCATTTGCATTGTTTAGCAGATATTTTCCAAACAGCTTTCAATTAAAGCAACCATGCAAATCCTTATTATTCAACAACACTTTTCCTCTTCTAGTCTCCGCAAAAAATAAAGTAAAATTTAAGAACTGCTAAGCAGTACAGTCTACCTGTACAAACTGCGAAAGAAAAATGAAATTATGAAATTTCTTACATGCCACAAGATACAGATCCTCTCCACTCCTCATTATGTTTGTTTTTACATCTACATTTTTAACTGAGAGCTCATTGCCATGTTGTAGTGGAGCAGCCACAGAGCAGAAATGCTTTGTATTGTCTTACTTTGGCACTTTTTCAGGTCTGGAGAAATGCAACCTCATTCCCAAATCCAGTTTGCTTGGTTTGGTAGTAGAAAACTCTAGGGTAACATAAGGTGATTTGGTACAATGCGTTCCTTCCCTTCTTATGACATAGTTCTCCACATATAATGCACTGAAAGCTTGAGAGTAATTATGCTGACTGTTTTAGCCTACATAAACCTTGCATACAACTCAAAGACTACATGATGTACAAAAAAAAAAAAAAACAAAACAAAAAAAACAGCAAAAAAACAATCAGTCACCTGTTTACCAGCCTAAACAAAAAGTTCTAGCTTGTTCCATAATGGATTTTGTATCACAATTGTTTCATTATTTTTCTTTGGAAGAAAAAAGGATATAAATTAAGTGGCAGAAAGAAAGAGTCTGCAGAAGAGAAGTTTCACACTATTTACTTCCTTCTGTCACACATCTGGAGTCGTGTGGCAAGGCAGACAATCATTTCAGGAGATAGAGCAAGTTACTTTTTTGGTATGGAAAGCCTACTCCATACACCCTGCTGTACACACCGATCTACTGCCATTTTGCCACTTCAGTTTTATTCCATTGCAGATTTTGTCCAAAGCAGTGAGTATAAAGTACTGTTTAACCAACAAAATAATTATAGACTCATACACTGAGTATCCAGGTCCAACAGCAGTGAACTACCAAAATTATCTCAGTACCCTAGAAAATAAGGTCATTTTGATGCTTCACTGTTGTAGAGGAAAACCCAGCTCCTGTACATTCACAGTAATATACAATAAATGTCTTTGCTTAACTCCAAATGGGAACCAGCTTTATGCTGGAGAATGCAGTTGTGGTTCTAGTTCTAATCTGATGCCTGAATAGTTTCATATTAACACAGCTAAACAGTTGCTTCCTTGAAAACTATAGGCATGGGGTTTTTTGTTGGTGTTTTCTTTTTCCTAGCAATATCCAGTCTACTAAAATCAGAGGGAAAAGAAAAGGAAAACAAAACAAATCGTTTGTTCTAGACCAGGAACTTTTATCTCCTTTTCTCCTGAATCCTCCCTAAGGTAGAAAAATAAGAATTCTAAAACCGCTCAAATATGCTCTTCTTCTCTAAGTCACGTTCACTTTCTGCTTTAAGTCATTAGTGGGTATTTTTGGGAAGAAATAGAGATAATGAAAGCAAGACACAAATTTTGGCCTGATGTCACACTAAATCCAGCATGACAATAATTTCCTTTATTTTCTATGATATTCTGTTTAATACCTTAACAGTCCTACAGGCCTTCAGCACATATCAAAGAAAATAATCATAATAACCTCGCTCACAACAAGCTACTGATAACTTGCATATCTTTTAAGGCCACCATAAGTCACTATATTTCTAAAATAAAATAGTTCATTTGGAAGGGACCTTCAAAGACCATCAAGTCCAACTGCTTGACTGCTCCAGGGCTAATCAAAAGTTAAATTAATGAAGGCATTGTCCAGTCATCTCTTGAACATGAACAGGCTTAGGATATCAACTACCTCTGTAGGTAGTCCGTTCTAGTGTTTGATCACCCTCAAAGTAAAGAAACATTTCCTAATGCTCAATCTGAGCCTCCCCTGCTTCAGCTTTATGTTGTTCTCACCAGCACAGCCTGGCGCCTTCTTCTCTTTTCCCTGCTCAGGGAGCTGCAGAGGGCAACAAGGTTCTCTCTCTTGGTCTCTTCCAGATTAGAAGAAAACTACTTCAGAAGAAAACTGTCCTCTACAAAATCTCTGCATATGTACTGGATGGTGTTTACAACTGCATATGTTTGTTGTAACCTCCAGAACAGTAATACCACAAAATTAAAAAGGATTAATTGGACAAAGCCTGTAAATACTTGCTCCTGCAAGTGCACACACTTCAATTTTCAGCTAGCTATCAGACTCTGCATACAAAAATGACTTGGGACAGGGAATTTGTGAGACACCCAAGGGATCAACTATACCTTGTTTCCACCAGTGCTGTTTAAGACATGAGGGAACAGGAAATTTGAAAATTTGTCTTTAAGTAGCTATTCAGAATTGGTAGCAAAGTCAGAGAGAAGAAACAATGAGGCAACAGACTTGACTCCTTCGGGTTTTCAAGCTCTGCAGCGTTACTTATAGATCTAAAGAAGTGGGGGAAGGACATGTATCTGCCTGCAGAGACCCCCCCCTCCAAATAACAAAACTTCCTAGATAAGAACAAAGTGTTTAATTTTCATCCTATTTGAAGGAAGAAGCTGAAATTTTCAGTTCCTCTTTCACTTGCTGAGAGCTGTAAGAGCTGAATAAATGATTTCTGACCTATCTGCTGTAAAAATGATGGTGACTGTTTTACCGATATATTAAAGAGTTTGCACTGTACACAAGTAACTTCAGATTTGTTCCACTACATATTCAGAAAACTTATGATTATGATAAAGAACCTTTAGATCCTGTTAAAAGCCTTTGTTTCACAATGAAGAAAAACGCTGCCATGCACTAGTTGAGCAAAGCAAATTTTCAACAAGAGAATGGAAATCTTTCCGTATTTACATTATTAAATGTGATTTTCAAGAGACTTCTATATGAATTCCATAAGAATTTCCAGAGTGAATTTACTTTTGAAGTTGAATATGAAAATAGCTGTTAGCTCCTTCAGAAGCACTAATAATAGACAAGTGCTTTTCTGGGAAGGATAGCAAGCCACAAAGACTGACCCCAACTTCTGATCTGCCAGCTGTGCCAGAATTCCAGACAGACAAGACTACTGAGAAGATCAGCTGGGAAGAAGACACTCAGATACAACTATTTCAAAAAGGTATTCCCAAACTCTGCATCTGTACCCTGCTGCTGCCAAAATCATCCTGTGAGTTAGGCACTTATGTCCCAAATGACAGGATGCATCTTGCCAGGAGCAGTGAAGATCAATGGTTTACTTATGCTCTAACAGCATGTTTACACGGGTGCTGTTAGGAGGGAG